CGTGGATAAAGTTAAAGTGGCTGAGTGACATGGTATTGAGAAGACGCAGTCCAAACTGAATTCAACTGAAATTCGAGTCCAGTCAGACGGAAATTACAGTCCAGACTTTGTAATACGACACGTGGGAAATAGAGACTGTATACGTCTTATTACGGTGATCAGTACTTGATAGACGTATCTACATCAGAAAGCGGAGTTTTGAATGACTTCAAGCAAATTCACCAAGACTGGATTCCGTCCCTGCTTCGTCCCCTTTAAAGTGCAAGTGCACATTAAGGCTTATAAGCAGTCTGTCTGACAGTCCCTGTGCTATATCTAGTTTCACTTCCATCGAACACTGTTACGAAAAATCCCTAAATGAAGCAAGCCTAGATTTTTTCCTTGGGCTATTTTTCAATTTAACTGAAGCTTGTTTCTATCAGTGACATATGCATTAGACAAATATATCAGGTGAAACAGAGTTTAAGTCGGCCTCAGTGTTATTGCCCGAGTGTTACTGACTTCTTGTAGTGGTCCAGACTATTACCAAATGTATATAATGCTCGCCCATACTAATGATTAGTCTCTAAAATGTATATTTTTACCGAAATAAATAACTCCTTATATATTGAAAAGAGACCCAAATGAGCCGAGAGATTGGAAAGCTCAGGAAATCTAGAAATCGAGTGATGTTTAAGTTACGCCGCTTGTAACATTATTCCAGCAATATCACGGCGGGGCATCGCAGATAAGGTTGGGCGGAAGGGAAGGTTGTAGGTTGTAATTCAGGCTCTGTGAGACAGACACGATGATACGATGTCAACGCTTAACATGGCAGGGACGGATACAGCTTTTTGAGAAAGGGGGGTGCACACTTCATTTTTCAGGAGAGTTTCAATGGTCATTTAACACTCGATTCAGCAATGGTCAGTTAACAAACTTTCAGCACAAAAGGGGAGTGCGCACCCCCACACACACACACACACACACCCTTCTGGATCCGCCTATGCATGGACACTGGTTTGATGAAGTACAATTTCTTGGGGTGCCTATTTAACACTCCGGTGCATATTAGCTACACTGATGGCAAAGTTCCGAAGGCTTTCGTGCTCTAGTAACATCATATTGACGTCTCCAATCCTTTAACCCACATTCTTGTACTTGAAAATGTTCTTTTGTAGCACATACGATCAGTGTAAAGACATGGCTTCCAACATTCTAAAGCAAGAAATGTTTTGAGCAACAAGTTTAATGCTATCACACTATAGCTGATATACATTTGTAAAGATATTAGAAGATACGTAACTATTTTCTCTTCAAATTGTAATCAGTTCGATGCGATCGACCTGTCAGAAAGCATTGTCAAGGGTCATTCAGTACCTCCAAAGACCATTTCCATAGTATAAATACCCTACTAACAGAAATTCAAATGTCAAAAATACTTGGATTTGCGGGACAGTTTTCACAGCATATCTCGAATCAGTTGAAACCTACCACAAAACACTCACAGAATACTCAGAGAATAGTTCATCTCAAACCTGGGACACAACTTTTCAAACAAACAAATTACTTCAATCGCTTTTTCGAGAAATCGGATTGCGAGCATGGTTGTATGAAGTATTTTGGAAATGTTCCAGCAATCTCAGAGCCGGAAGAGCGTAAGTGAAGTTGGTGTTAGGCCCTTACTTCCGTTATCATGGTCATGTCAGAGCCTGTCAGACCAAAGTGAGAGGGAAGTCCAACAAAACAATTTTCTTTATATGGACCCATAACCTGTTGGAGGAAAATTTGAAAGACAAGCACAACTCCAAACACTGCCTCCTATCCACGGGCTAATTCTCATTACAAAGTGACTGGATGATGCTATACTGTGTGTTGAGTGGGTGGGTTTAGTTTTACGCCGCACTCAGCAATATTCCAGCTATATGGCAGTGGTATGTTAATAATCGGATCTGGACCAGACAATCCAGGGATCAACAGCACGAACATCAATCTATGCAATTGGGATACGATGACATGTGTCAACCAAGTCAGCGAGCCTGACCGCCCGATCCGGTTAGTCGCCTGTTACGACAAGCATGGGTTACTGAAGATCAATTCTAACCCTGATCTTCACGGGTCTACTGTGTGTTGAATCAATCACTATTGTAATAGTAGCTTTGTGATCCGTTGTTATTTTTCAGGAGTATATATTCCAAACGGGGATCATTTGCAACATAAATGACAAATGGAACATGTTCATTTGAATTTTTATATCGTTTCAGTGAAAATATTAAATAATCACATCAATAATATTTTTTATACCAAATTAACAAACAACAAACATGAGAGTTCATCAAAATGAAATTTCAGACTTTACAAAATTAACAAGTAATCCCACTTACAAAGTTATCAGTTATCAAACATCTTAAATATACTTCATTATTCACAGTCTCGCCATGCCAACAACAACAACAACAACATAATGATGTTTCAGGATGAATGAAGATAGTATTCATAAATCAGGCCCCAATTTCTCGAAACAAACTTAAGTCCGAGTTTTTCCTCAATTTTTAGAAAATGCAATTCCCAGAATGAACTGAAATGATATAAGGGACCATTCATAATATATGGATGCGTGCGGGCGTGCGCGTGTGTGTGTGAGTGAGTGAGATGATGATTTTAGAAGGGGTGTCAGCCATTTTATTATGGGGAGGGGTGGGGGTGTAAGCAATTTTGTACACATGTACTGGGGTGTCAGCAATTTTGTACAGGAAAATATTAAAAAGAATTATGCTAAAAATTATGGCAAGGGGAGTGGGTTCATTGATTTTGTACATGACATGCATAAAAAACATCATCACACACCCCACCCATAAATTATGACCCGGTCCCTTAAACTCAAACATAGTAGACAAGTTGAGTTTGGTGGATAGATTACTTAAGTTGTTTGGGCTTTTTTATTATAAAAATTGCAGTGGAGTTAAAAATTCAGCTGTTTCAAATTGTCAAACTCAGTTTGACATTTGAGTAAAAACTTAAGTTTGTTTCGAGAAATTGGGGCCTGTTCTTACCCTTCACAGATGGGGGTGGGGGTGTGTGTGTGTGTGTGTGTGTGTGTGTGTGTGTGTTTAAACACTGTCAAAGGCATTTTACTGCTGCAACAGTAGACTAGTACTGGTTATAGACCTATCACAATACTGTTGCTTTGTAGTGGGGGCTCAACCCAGAGTTCAGATTAATGTCTGTTTGGTTGTTGTATATGATGTTGGGATACGACATGTGTCAACCAAGTCAGTGAGCCTGTCCACCCAATCCTGTTAAGTCGACTTTCAAGATTAATGCAGTTACCTAGCATGTGGATGCTGGTGGCAGTCTGTCCCAGACTTGTCCCAGACCCAGTGCTAGCCTGCTGAGATATGATGTCACAGTTTAACACAAATACAATATACTCAAAGACAACCAGTCTTTGTATTATTAATGTAGTGGCAAGGAACTGAAACAACAAATACCACCTTTTAAGAGAGTGAGTTTAGTTTTACGCGGAACTCAGCAATATTCCAGCTATATGGCGGCGGTCTGTAAATAACTAAGTCTGGACCAGACAATCCAGTGATCAACAGCATGAAGATCGATCTGCGCAATTGGGAACTGATGACAAGTGTCAACCAAGCCAGCGAGCCTGACCACCTCATCCCGTTAGTCGCCTCTTACACCATCTTTTAAAATCTTTTCGTATGATACATCCCGGGATCAGTCAGCTGGCCTTCCACTCTCTACAGCATCCCAAAATTAACTGCAATGGTTTCTTTGTTTAATGCCTCGCTAAGCAATATTCCAGCTGTTACAGAGGTCTGCAAATAGTTTCTGGACCAAACAATCCAGTGACTGACGTTAACAGTGATCTATGCACTAAGGATACAATGGCATGCATCATGCAAGTCAGCCAGCATGACCACCCAATCCTGTCAGTCGCCTCTTCTGACAACATGGGCTGCTGAAGGCCAATTCTAACACAGATCTTCTCTGCATTAGTATTGTGACAGTTTGATGAGCACTTGCACCAAGAATTCCTTGCATTATCAGGATTATTCATTAAAAGGACAGTTTTAACATGTATCTGATTCAGATTGCCTTGGAGTAAGGACACTTAGGACAGTACGTCATATGATCAATGCTGACCATATAAAACAAAACAATGTATATTGGATCAAAACAAATGGAAAGGTAAATGATATATAACATGATTACCGATATGTTTTGTAGTATAAGAGCAACTGACTATCAGTGAGTGAGTTTGATTTTACATCGTTTTCAGCAATATTTCAGCAATATCACAGCAGGGGACACTAGAAATGGGCTTCACACATTGTATCCATGTGGGGAATCGAACCGAGTCTTTGGAGTGACAAGCGAACGCTTTAACCACTAGGCTACACCATCACCCCAGCAACTGACTATCAGTATGTAGTAATCATATTCCATTATGTTCACCATATCCTTGGTTTCAGACTTGTAGTATCATGGAATTGATAAATGTACCAAACATTTCTTATGAAGTTGGTAAAGAATATCCATACTGGTAAATTAAATATATTATGGTAGAAATTAATAGCAAAATCAGTAACAAATCTTCTTTAAAGAATGTCCCAAAACAGTGCATTTAGAGAAATTGGGTTTAATCAGTGAGAATATATCACTGCATCTGCAGTCTTTAGCCCAGACTGAAGTTAGTGCTAAATATGCAGCTTAAATGCATTAATGCACACTTGTTTACCAGTGGTCGCCAAGAGGAGACATTGAATCATTTTACCAGTAATATCAGTGACTCACAGTGACTTTGACTCAAAATCATCACTGTGTGAGCTAAATATTTGCATGCAGATGTAACAAAATCCTCAGCAATGATGAACCCCTTTGACCAGGATCCATGGGCAAGGGTGTATTTTTTTAACAGAAAATAAAATAGTAATTTGACAAGAATATCAAATTCAAACCCATGATCAGGTGATCCTGATATGTAAGGGAGACAACCCTGCACAGCAAGTTTGGCATTTTAATAATACACCCAAGAATTAAGTAGAAAGTCATAAATGAATCCACAAATGGTTTCAAGAAATGGGTCCTATGTCACATTCAAGTAACTGTCAATGTTTAGAAGTTCATGTCAACATGTTCACATATATTTCATGATGAGGCTGTACAAGTTCAATCAAAATATTCAGGTAACACTTTCATGGTTTAAGTGGGACAAATCTGTATGGACATGCTCCACACATTCACGTAACTATTAACGCTGAGGTGGCACAAGTTCGTATTTAGATGTAGAGCCTCCTTGAGACATGATATGTTCGAAAAGTTCACCTGATGTCCTTTTCCGACTAACAATGATGTAACGATTTGCATTGGATCCCCTGCTCCGGCTCTTCAAGCGGAACCTCTTTGCATGCTGATGGATCAACGCCCTCTCCTCTTTAGTAAAGTCAGATGAGAATACCAAATCCCCACAGTTGTCAGACCTTGCATAATTCTCAACACAGTTCCTAATTCGACTCATCATGTCGCCAGTAATCCCCTTTTCTTTTGAATGTCCGATCCCTGCCCGGTTTATAACCTGCTCCACTGAAACAGGCTCAGCCCGCCCAGTCCCATCCTTCCCCATCCCACCACCCACCCAGCCCATCTTCCGCAACAGCTTGTTGCCGATGTTACTGTCAGGTATCTCACACATGGACTTCTCAACATCACCAAACACCTCCTCCTTACTCAGTCTCATCTCATCGGAATCAGCCGCCTGCTTGAATTTCATTGTCCAGCACATTTTCCTTAATAAGTCAATAGCATTTGCACTTGCTTCATTCTTGGCAATGATATTTGTCCTAGCTGTACACTCAACCAACGGCTGGCCTTCTAGACTCACACGACACGACACACCATCTTTGTTCCGGACAAACTCAAACTCAAGTAGCATCTTACTAAAATCTGCACTTTGCCTCAATACTGAACTAGGATGCTGTACAGCCCTATTGTTCATAGCATCCTGCACTATAATTAACTCATCCAAGTTTCTAGCATCATCTCCTAACTGTGGTCTCTTTTTTTTGTTGTAACTTTTGAACCTTACACCTTTAAGACCTCCACCATTGGACTCATACCAGGTTTCCCCTTCTGGCAACATCGGTATCTCGTTCACTTCAGGCTCCTCCTGTTCGTCCTCCTCCAAGACAGGAGTGTCAGATGCAAGTAGTTCTTGAGAGTTATCTTCATTTACAGAAATCATGTGGTATGGTTTCAGAATTGTCTCAATCACATTCTCAAATGCAGCTTTCTTTGCCGTCTTCTTACTTCGGTCCACAGCAGATGCAATGTGAATGAAGTCAATACTGACCCTGCATTCAAACATGGTGGCACCATCGACCTCTTTGGCATCGATGCTGGACTGAATAGTCATCTTGACTTTATGTATTACCATATTCATTAGCGAAATTGGGTTGATCTCCATTGACTTTTGCTTAATCTGATGTCGAAGTGCAGCAAATGTTTGGTCATTTGCATCATCATTAACAGGAGCTGATGTCTGTGCTTGTACAGGAAATATTTGTAGAGTCATTTCAGCAGTTGTTTGACCCTTTTTGCATTTCTTCTTGCTCAGTTTGGGGGGTTCTTTCATGCTACAAAGGGGCTCCAGTATACTGGCCCCATACTGATTTTGAGCCACAGGGACTTGAATGTTATTGCTCGTGTACGTGTCCTCAGATTTGACAAATCCCATCTGAGATTCTATGCTTGAGTGATGTGAACCACATTTTATTGATTCAGCAAGTTCCATCACAGACTCAGCCAGGGGTTCTATTACAGTATCTGACAAGGATTTCTTTACCACTGGCTCTACAGTATCAGAGTCTGATGCTTTCACAAAACCCATTGTTGTATATTTCATCTTAACTCTCTCCTTTTTTTCTTTTGCCAGTTTGGGAAAATCTTTGGAGAGCTCCTTCAGCTGGATCATAACCGGGTCGGGATACCTGCAACCATCCATCTCCACATTAACAAAACACTTGGCTAGACAAATCAGACGGGCTTCTGGAAATTTGTCATGGTGAGCTACGAGAAAGCGCCTTCGAAGTCTCCAAGCTTGAGCACATTCGTCTGGGTCTCGATATTTATTAACCTGAAACTGTGATGCCATGTCTGGATCTAAAACAAATGAATGGAAATCTTTAAGATTATAACAAAATAATGTTGCCAATACATGACATGCATATATGTACCATTTACTGTAAAAGGGTAATAATTTAACACCCTTTTCAATCCCACGGCCAGTGGATAGTGACAGCTAAGGGAAAAACTGCTTAGCCATACATCCTAGATTACAAAGTCATAAAAAATCAAAATATGTAGTTCTTGTCAGAAAATAGGTTCTTTTATCATGTCATCACCCAAGGAGCTGTCAACATGGTCAGTGTTGAGTGAGTGAGTGAGTTTAGTTTTACGCCACTTTCAGCAATATTCCAGTAACATCACATGACACCAGAAATGGGCTTCACACAGTGTACCCATGTGGGGAATCTAACATGGGCCTTCGGCGTGACGAGCGAACGCTTTAACCACTGTACTACCCCACAGACACTGGTCAATGTTGAGATAGCACAAGCTGTATTAAAATAGCCAGGTAACTGTTATCATTGAAGAGGGACAAGTTATCACACACAAAATAACATGTTCAAGGAACTGTCAACACTGAATTGGGACATTAACATGTCCTGGGAACTGTTTTTGTTGAACTGGTCAAGTTATTTGAGCATTCCCAAAGAAATATATAGTGACTGAATGGAAAGAGTTCCTTCCATTCCCCCAACCCTTAACCTAACTCTAAACCTAACCCTACCTTAAAGTTTGGACTTTTAGTCATTTTGTGAGTTCTCTATTGTGTTAAGTTTTGTTAATAATTTTGGTATATTTATAAATATTATTTGGGATGGGGGAAGGGGAGGAACTCTTACCGTTCTTACTAAGGGTGATGAAACGGTTTGCCTTTCCCTTGCTCCGACTCTTCAGGCCGAATTCCTTTGCATGTTCATGAATCAATGCCCTCTCCTCTTTAGTATAGTCAGGCGAGAACACCAAATCATCTTTACTTTCGGATCGTGCATAATCCTCCACAAACTTTCTAATTTGGCTCGTTTTGTCGCCAGTAATACCTATTTCCATCGAAGATTTCCCCTGATTGGAAATCTGATCCACTGAAACCGACTCAACTTCAGCAGACAACTGCTCTTCTCTAACATGCAACTCATCAAAATCATCTGCCTGCTTTAACTTTATCGACGCCATATTCTATATTCCAAATGTTGTATTTCGCAATTATGAATTGAGAATATTTTTTTTTTTCACTGTTGGTTTCAAACAGATATGGGTTATTAACGTAAAATGTATATAGAATCATTACAAAAATCTTTATGGCGAAACATTTGCCTTTAGATGTTAGTATTCCTTTCAAAAAATAGTTTACAGCAAACTCTGTTTGTGGTTCGATTTTAGAAATTGAATACCATATTTATATGTATCTTTAAACTCCCTTCACAGACACAGCGGAATCGCTTCGCGTGCACTTTTGGGTCTATCGGAAGAGTGTAACTTAGAGTATTGAATGGAAAAGGGTCTCCAGAAAGTCTAACATCTCAACAACAAAACATTTGCCTGTCTTTCTCGGAGCACCACATCATTCTGGTAACTATTTCAAGTTGAATTTTTGGCCTTCTGTGTATATAGACATTGAAGGCTGGATATATGATCGGTATATGGTCTCGGGACAGCCAGGTGTTCGAGAATGGATGGAGACGGCACAGCACAGGTTAATGAATAAATAACTTTGTCTGTGAACGTGCTTCTCTAACACCTGGCTGTCCCTTTCTCTGCGCTCCTCCCTCGTAACAAACAGTGAACTGTGTCAATATTTTAATGATAGTTTGTTAAACAACTTTATTATTTTTAGGACAAAAATTCTGCAAAAACCTCACAGAGTGGGTAGGATGTTTTGATTATGATCAGCGTTTCATTGAGTATGTTATGTTTATTAGTTTTCGAGTTAGATTGCAATTCATCAGTCCGCTTTTGAGCCAAACGGACTATACCTGCACCCCTGAGTCTGAAGTATGGATTATCTGTCAACATGATCAACAAGATTTAGAATTTAGAAAATTTATTCACAAGAGACTGATATTTCACAATTACTCATTACACATAGGTTTGGTGTACTTGTAGAACAATTTATGATTTTCACCTAACAGAAGCATCTTCTTTCTTCAGGGACATATCAACAGCTGACCTAAGTAATATTCTGACATGGAAGGCGAGTTCAATGTGGAGAAGTTCCGTGATCCTGACGAGACTCAAGCAACATGGCGCCTCAGAAAAGCATTCCTTGAAACCCACCATGACAAATTTCCTACTGATCGACTTGTGTGTTTGGCCAAGTGTTTTATCAATGTAGAAGTTGATGGCTGCAAGTACCCAAATCAAGTGATGATACAGCTTGCTGAACTCAAAAGGGGAACTGGATCTTGACCAGTGAAAAGACAGATGAACCTGTAAATGTTGATCAATGATTGATTTCAGTAAAACAACAAAATGCAACACAGAGTGTCTTGTGAAAACTGGCATATGGCTGGTTTAACTCTAAAAGATTGGAAGATATGTCATACACATGTTTGGCCATGTTTAACTGAAATATTATCGTTTTGTCAAATGTCTCCTTTTCATAAATGTCCATCTCATCTTCGAGGCTTAAATTGTGTTTTTAAAGCTTGACGAAATTTTATTACCATTTATATCTCCATCATCATGCTCATCTATTCAACTCATTATGGCACATGCTTAGCTAACATTCTGTCGATGTGATTGTGTTATGTGCATATTGATCAATACACAGAAAACAGTTACACTTAATTCTGAAAATGGGAAATCTAGATTTCACAAGAAGAAAAATGTGCAGTTTTGTTTTTACCATGTCATATCTGAAGCAACGTAGTTTTATCAGTCCGCCCGAGATCCTACAAAACATCCAAGTATTTGTAACAAAATTACTTCTTCTCATCTCATTTACATATTTAGAATGCTGATGTTATGTTTTCTTGTCAGTATCCTTTAAACTTGATTTTACTTGGTGCTCATAAAAATACAATTAATCATAATGACCATGTTGGTTTGTTTTGTTGTTGAACGCTGCACTCAGCAATATTAAATCTACTGGTACACGACAGCCACAATGACCAAGGGAAATATATATCCTACTGCCCATGATGATATTTAACACCTAACAGAGATGCCATCTATTTTGTTTTATCATTTTTTAAGTATTATTATTTCCCATCTGCATGTTGTACACCACATTTCAGAACAAATGAAATTATTTCATGTTGCAATGTAGAATTCTTGCATGCATGTTATACACCACTTTTCAACAGATACACGTTACACTTTACAATGAAGGAATCCTGTAAGGTTCTTGCATGCATGTTATACACCACTTTTCAACAGATACACGTTACACTTTACAATGAAGGAATCCTGTAAAGTTCTTGCATGCACGTTATACACCACTTTTCAACAGATACATGTTACTGTTTACAATGAAGGAATCCTGTAAGGTTCTTGCATGCATGTTATACACCACTTTTCAACAGATACACGTTACACTTTACAATGAAGGAATCCTGTAAGGTTCTTGCATGCATGTTATACACCACTTTTCAACAGATACATGTTACACTTTACAATGAAGGAATCCTGTAAAGTTCTTGCATGCACGGGCGGTGGGGTAGCCTAGTGGTTGAAGCGTTTGCTCGTCATGCCGAAGATCCGGGTTCGATTCCCCACGTTGGGTACAATGTGTGAAGTCCATTTCTGGTGTCCCCCACCGTGATATTGCTGGAATATTGCTAAAAGCGGCGTCAAACTAAACTCAGTCAGTCAGTCTTACATGCATGTTATACATGTTATACAACACTTTTCAACAGATACACGTTACACTTTATAATGTAGGAATAGTGCAAAGTTACAATGATCATGAATAATTTTGATGGCATAGCCGATATACGATTGAAAACGCTGTACATTTTTAAAAATTAAATGTTGAGTTATGTATATGCTACAGTTATATATATGTAGTGACTGTTTATATTGTGTCTCTTAGTGTCTGCACCAGGTCTTTGTGGAATGTTGCTAAACGATTGCGTGAACGACTATGAGTGAGATTTGGAAGTGACCAACTCCTTGTGACATTGTTCATTGTGTAGTTGTTGAAACGTGATCACGTAGGACTCGCACACTTCATGTTAATGTTGGTAAAAATCATATAAACATATATATATAAATGATTGTCATAAAGATACATCAGGGATCCATGATGGAGGAAAGGAGGAGCCCTCTATTTTATGCTGAAACTGGTTGGCCACGAGGACATTCCTGACTTTTACGAGTCCCTGACTAGCAGACCTGCGTTAATTTCACACCCTGGTATCTGTCTGATGCAAGTGTAGACTAAAATAAAGTACTGTTTGGAAATGTTGATTCTCACATCCCTTGTTTTGGGTGTCATGTCAGAAACAGCTCTTTATCAGTTTGCCGTGTCACATTGGTTGAAAAGAATGGCTAGTATTTGATGCCTGTGAAGTGTTTGGAAGTTAAGTGAGACCTCCAATTCGTCTTTGCGTAATTCGTTTGGATAACTGAAAATCCGGATATCTGGATTTCTGTCATCCATGCTGCGGTAACGAGCATACACTTCTGGTTTAAAATCACGTCCAAAACAGTGTGATCATTTTGATTTGCCGATCACAATCTACTCAGTGTCAGATAAGCCTACTAATCACCACCAATACCCTGCTGAGGGTCTATTCCCATTTGTGAGAACTCCCAATTGTGAGACTCCCAGTTATGAGACAGTGGAGTAGGTAATTAGCAAAGAAAACATACCATACTCCCCTGTCTGACAGAAAGGATTAACCCTAGCTAATTACTGATTTGCTAACTAACTGAATCTTGTGGAAGTCTTAATGAAACTTTAAAGATAAATTGATTAACATACACTTTGTGTAGGTAACTTCGTCATCTTTGAAGAGAAATTAAGTTACCTACTCAGATTTACATCCTTCTCGGAAACTACAAGCTATAGTTTAAGAAATAACTCTGAAATACAAGTTTACAGTCGAACTGCCTCTTATACCAAATCCTTTTTACCCGACACTACCTGGATACAATTTTGAACGGAAACTACGAATTTACTCCTTGTGTAAACCAGAAAATAGTTGAATCTGTCCACGATTATATCATCAAGACACAACGCTCTCAGGAAAATACTTAAATTAACTCAACAACCTTCTCATGATTGATTTATATTCCTACAATTGCTTGTAAGAGACACACAACTGTAACTCTCTTATTATGACTACTTGGAGAATAGTTGTACTTGATGTATACTTAAAAATATATTTATGAAATAGTCAATATCGATGACGTCACATCCTCCTTTTCATTTAGTAATTAATGGGAGTGGTGTTAACATAAGCAGTAATCATTGCTCATCAATCCCAATTCATTTTCATAAATAATAATAAAATATGTTTAAACCAAAATGACTTTCAAACTTCATAATAGTTTATTTCTTCTGTGTAAATAGAATCTTTGATAATCTATTTCATTAATCTACTCATTAATGACTCCTGTGGGTACTCTTCAACAACTGGGCTGATCCCACTTTCATTGTAGGGATGTGGAAACACCACCTATGTGCACTGAACCATTAATTATTGTGTCTCACAAATGGGAGGACACCCTGCTGAGCGGTCAGTAATCCGATTAGCAGACCTTGTCTTGTGTCAAGACACGTAGGACTCTCACGCTTCATGTTAATGTTGGAAAAATCATTTTATATTGGTTAATGTTGGTGGTTTCTCAGTCAAACCAGTGTCTGATAGTTTCACCTGTTGTTTCCAAAGTTGAAACATGAAGATAGCCCAGAAATCAGTTTTTACGTAATTAAATCATGAAATAAGTAAATAACCACATCTAATCTATATAGGAACTAGTCAAATTTCTCAGAAATGTGAATGCATGAGGCATTTTTGAGTAAAAGCAAGCAAACAACATTTTCTGGGGTAGTTTTTCGTGCTGAATACGAATCTGTTGTTTGCTAAGCTCAAAAATGCCTAATTAGGTCACAAATTAGGTTCAAAGGTCAATGAGTGCAAAATTAATTTTTTTTTAAAAAGTGTTTTATTTATCATTCTCCATCCATACCATGAACTCAGTTTACAATATATTGATTAATAATGCTACCACAGGATTTCAAAATGTTGGATTTCATGGAAATACTGAAGAAAAAAATTCGTATTTTTGCAAATATCTCCCTTATGGAGCGACTTTTAGTATTTGCGTGAAGAGCTACTTTTTACAAGCATTTTTGCTCAAAATGCAAAGCAAGGCTGAATCTTTTCCTTTTGTAGACAGAATTATATTCCAGGCAAACTGTTTAGGTCACAAAAATCGCATATTAAGCGCATAATTACTTCAAAGGTTAATGAGTGTGACAGGATGCGATAGGCATTTTTACATGTATGCTACACGAATGCGTTTATACTGCTTCACATGCATGTCAAATGAAACTGCTTTCATTCATGCAGTGAGTTTGATTAATGATTTTAGCAACATAATTACCCACAGAACAGTTCAGGAAATCACAGGAACAGGTGGGAACCCTATCCGATAATGTGTCAAATACATAGTATGAAGATGAAGGCGAAAGTGGAACATAAATGCATACAATCTGTGTTATGTGCTATGACTGAAGGATCGAGGCTGTACTAAAAGACTTTGCTATCACATGTTTGGTTTTAGGAATCTTTGTGCCGGAGGATTTTGTTAGTTGACGCACTGCACTGGTACTTTTTATTCAAAAGGTGCAGTGTGTGTGTACCAGGAGAGGTCATCAGTGGCGGTATATACGTAGCACTGGTGTAGATTTGTTTCTATTCACAGGCCAAGGTTTCTCATTTGAGCTGTGTATCATATGTCAGGAAACCAGTCAGTCTAAAAATACCATCTACAACCAGACAGAACTGGGCATCTAATCCATTTTTGAGGCCACCCAGTTCAGGCACAAATTGAAACATTGCAAAGTTCGGTCATCTGTAGACAGGCTTTCGTTCCTCTTTGAAGAATCTCCTGACGGCAACCCTAATCTAAAATGGCACAAACTCTGTTATTCAGCATACACACATTAAGGAAAAATAAATGTAAGGCTTGCCAAGGATCAGTCCAATGCTTCACAAGGAAATGAGCAGACTGGTGTTTCAGATGAATGATACCGCTTTTTACGCAGGGGTCCTTCAACAGTGAGCTTGACGTTGTGTATATTCTGTCACAGCTCCGAAAGCAAGCAGAAGACGAGCCATGTTTCTACCATAATAATACATTCTAGAGTGTGCACAAATGCAAAATATGCACTCAATGTGTTTGAACGTATTACAGACGTGAATGATTTAATAGCAGCCGAATCATGCTATCACATCTAAGTTAATTTCTGTGGGATGCCAAAAGGGCAGAAACTGACAGCAAATGAGCTGATATAGCCATGGCTTGGTTGTGTCAGGAGTTACGTCACCGTGCAGAGAATGGATACATATTGGAATTGTCTGCTGTGTTCATGAGGTACAAAGAATTAACCAATGAGTCAGACTCTATCATCCCATCATCATATCATCCCATCAAAAAGTGCGTTGGGGTCACTTATGAATTTGTTGTTCATGTCACTGGAGCACGTTGCTCTGAGACTCTGCAGTGATATGTCAGATCAGGGATTCAAATTTTGTGACGTGAGTGAAGAAGTAGAGTTGGCCAGTGTACCTCCTTCTGAAGAACGTGAAATAGGCGTGCATCTGATGTTGAACGGATTAAGAACACAGGCGTTCGTAGTATGGGGCAAGACATGGTCTACAGTGTTTGCGGGGACAAGGAAGCACCATCTAAACATGTTGGTATTGGTATGACCCTTCACCAATCAACATGCACAGTCAAGAAGTAGAGCTATACCATACAGAATGCTTGGCACACCATCAGTTATACCCGGGTTCTCCAAGCACTAGATCCACACACTGGGGCAGTGTTTGCAAAGAACTTGGTCTTTGGGAGCTTTTCT